AAACGTCAGCTTTCCTGCTCCTCTGATGCTGCTTGGCCTGCTGTGTTCATCCAGCTTTACACCTTGTTATAGCAGAACAGATTAGTGCTTTCCAAACCTCTTCCCTCTGTGACCTCACTTCAAGGCTTGAAAATTGTTGCAGCTCTTTAATGTGAACTGTTATGGCTAGGGCACAGCCATAAAGTCATAGGGTCAAATAGCACAGAAACAGACCCTTTAGTGCAACCAGTCCAAGCCAACCATGTTCCCAAACTAAACTAGTGTCACATACCTGTATTTGGTCCATATCCCTCCAAATCTTTCCTATTCATGTACTTATCCAAATGTCTTTTAAACATTATAACTATACCAGTATCCACCACTTCCTCTAGATGTTCATTCCATACAGCTGTTACAACTTGGCCAACGTTCTACAGTGGCCAATACTACCCCAGAGTGAGTGACTCCAAATTTTCAGCTCAAGACCCAACTTTGGGAAATTCTGTTGTAACCAGTTGCTAACCTGCAGTAAAGAATACCTTGTTAAGTACAAAGGACCATTCTGTTTAGATTAGGAATTGGTTTTCCTCTACCATGCAAGACAAAACAGGTCCTGTAGATTCCTACATTTAAAGATGATGGTGGCAGTAAACTTCATCATGAGCTGCTGCTATTATGGCACAGTGAGATGGCATGGCCACACAATACAGGAGATGTCCTTCTCGCTGACGAACACATTTTCAGTTATGTGTTTTTCAGCGGTGGCATTAACATTTGAACTCCAAGGTAGCGTCACTCACATTGAACCATTATATTTGGCCCTCCCCAAAAGTGTAGTAAGTTTCTTCAAGATTGTTGCAGCTGCATCCATTGAGGCAAATGGGCAATATTTCATTTAGTGGATGATCATAGATATTGGAGAGGCTTTGTGTGGTTGGGAGGATAGCCACTCACGGCAGAACATTTTCTGTTTTCACAATGTTGCTATGGAAATGCTAATTCCATTCAGCTATCACAGAGCAAGATTTTGACATGGGAAAGTATTATATAGAATAACAATAATTTTACTCCCTAATTGGCAAACAGTAGAAATATAACAGTAGCGTTCATGTCCAAGGGATGGGGGAAATCATTGGAGTTTTCAGCACTTGACTGCTGCTCAGTGATTCCAGTACATACGTCTGGTGAAAACAGTCTCATTTAGGATACTTTCCAAGATCATCAAAAAATATCTCCTGGGCAAAGCATATCCATATAGACATATTCTGAAGCAACTCATTATTTTTAGAAAAGGCAAGGAGAAACTTAGCTTGGGGACAAAATATTTACAATAACACGGTAATTCTCTTGAGAAATTTCCACTATGGGGGATATATTGATGTCAACTGATACTCAGAAAACAAATTAACTGGGTATTCATCTCATTTGCTGTTTGTAGGAACTTGCTATGTGTAATTTGCTGCATTTCCTTCACAAAGTGCTATGCAGCATTCTAAGATTATGATACAGTAATTTCAGCGCAGTACTGAAGGGAAATTCACCTCGTGTCTTGGTCAACATCTCTAAAACAGACTATCCAGCCACTTATACTATTTGTTGTTGTGACCTTGCTGTGCACAAACTGGCAACTGCATTTTCTACATTACACTTTAAAAATGTACTTGGAATGTGAAAGGGACTGTATATGTCCATGTTTGTGCTTTCTCAGAAATAGTTCATGAATATTTTCTTAACTGACATTAACAGAATATGACCTGGAGTTTACAGCTGTATTGACAGCAAAACTAGTAGTATTTACCATCGTTACAATTGCAGAACTGATAGCAACTTCTAACATAAGCATATGTAGTTAAACATAGAAAATTCATGTGTTGTTATCTATGGATTCCTTGCTCCTTCACAGGGTAGGCAGCGTATGCTTCACATGGAAACCTTAGAAATCACTTGAAATGGAGTGAATGTTCACTTTTTATGCCATTTAATCTCTATGTCTTCTAATTGTTTTGCTACCTCCTTTCTTAATGCTGTCCCAAACCAGTTATGGCTTGAGCTTTGGATGTAGTGTTGAACAAGGATTGCAGGCCATATAGAGCCTGACAGAAACCAAAGCATCAACATTCTTGTGGTCCCAATTACCTTGTGAAAGTCCTTGAAACTTTTTTAACAGTGCACCAACTTTTAAATTGTGAAAAAAAACTCTTTATCGCTCAAAGGCTCATTCTATGCTTTTGGAATATCAACTTCTCCATTAAAAGTTTCATTATATTTGTAAACCAATCCCAATTTTTATGATAGTTCAAATTTTACCATAATTTCATGTGCAAAATGACTAAAGTCAAGAATTATTAGTCCACATTAGAAGTCAATAAATCTTCGGCAATGGCTTTTAGTGATAACTGCTATTGACTCCAAAATAACCTTCTGTCGTGTGACTTTTGACCAAAATCTGGGATTGTATTGTAGTTGGGAACTTCAGGTCACTGGGACTTATTTGTAACATTGACATGTAAAAATATTTGTGGTCGTTGGAAGTGAACAATACTAGTCTCAGGACATTGCTGGAGGAATTCTGCAAAACAATATCTGAGGCACGATCATCTTGAGCTGCTTCATTACTGATCTTATCCCCAACACAATGTCTGGAATATTTGTTGATGATTACATCATGTTTAATTCAACTTGCAACTCCTCAGAAACCATCCATGTTAGCATGCAGCAAGATCAGGACAACATTCATACTTGAGCCTCTAAGTGGCAATTAATATTCATTCCACAAAATGCTAGGCAATAACCACTTCCAACAGTAGAGAATCTATCTCCCCACGACATTAAATGTGCATAATTATTACAGAATTTCCCATCACCACCCTGAGGTCAACATAAACCAGAACCTAACTGGACCATCCATACAAGTCCTAGAAAACAGGTCAGAAATTGGGAATCCTATGGTGTGGAACTCAGTTCCTGATATCCCAAAGCATATCTAACATCAACAAAATGTAAGTCAGGTGTGTAATGGAATGCTTTCCACTTGGTTGAATAGATTGAGCTTCAACAACACAGTAGAAGCTCAACTCTATGAGGCACGAAGCAGCTCACTTATTTAGCATTCCATCTCCCAGTTTAAAATTTACTTAATTCCCACAGGAATGGTGAACACCATTTGCAAGATGTCCTGCAGTGATTTGCCAAGGTCCCATTGTTAGTAGCTTCCAAACAACTAAGCCCTACTATCTGGAACAAATGTCAGCTAATTGTAACTTACTTGCAGCTTCCAACTTTTATCAGCCAGTTTGCATTTCATGAAATAAAAAGTGAACTATTGAGGAAATCACAACCCAAAAAAAAGGAGACAATCTTTGACTTCCACAGTTAAGTAACATTACATAATTTTGGTAAATTTTATTGGTGCTGAAAAAAATAAGCACTACAACTTTAAACCTTTTTGGGTCATACATCTACATACAACCGATAAACATTTGGATTCAAGGATTGTTTTACCACTGCGATATTAATAGTTTTAGCAGAGCTGAAAACAATAAATTATTTTTCTATGACCTGAATGTATGTGCTGGGAAAATGAAACTTTATTCTTTAATTATGATCTTAATATACAAATTTAGAATTAATAAATAATTTTGCTGATTACTAACTCAAAAACATAAAACCAAAAAGCATTCTTTAATGTTTATGTCAATTTCCTATTGATTTTTTATTCTGAATAGATAATTGATGTTTGTCAAAACATAATTTTGTTGCTGTGCAGTTTTGAAGAGTTTGCATTTTAGGTAAAGTCCTAAAAAGGGACAACAAAAGCTACATGGACGTCATTACAGTTACAACATTGCCCTTACTTGGAATTATGTTGCAGCTCATTCACGGTCACCAGATCAAAATCTTGGAACACTTCTTCAGAGCACTGTGGGCATACCCATCCTACACAGATGGCAGTGACAGCTCACCATTGGCATTTCAAGGGTAATTAGAGTGGTCAGTCCTTGCACAGGCATTAAAAAAATCTTTTCCAAAGAACTCTATATTGGAAATTTATTTCAATCCCTTTCAAAATTTGAAACTATCTTAAGAACATAAATCAAATTTAAGGGAAGCTTTTTTAAATCTATACAATTTATTATACACTATTACAAGGATATTTACATAGAATAAATTTTACAGAAAAGTAACTTTCAACAGCAGAGATTGGTGTCCAGTGACAATTGTTTTCTGAATATATTTACAAAAACTATACATTTATAATCATGTATATTTTGTAAAAGTTTGGAACTAAAATAGTTTCATGACTGATAAAAGCAAGCTTTACTCAACAATATATCTTCAATCTTCATGAGAAACAAGAAATGGTCGTCAGACAGTCACGAAATCATCTTGCACATTATACCAAACTTCCTTTTGAATAATGAATATATAACAAAAGCCAAACAATATTAATTGTTTGATAATCCAAAGCACAAGTGACCAAAAAAAACACGGCATGGAGATATAATCCAGGGACGACACTTTATAAACCTTAGCAGTCATCAGCAAAACATATTCCAGTAAATGATATGAATATAGATTCTCTGTTAGAGATCATGAGAGATGTTCATCACATCAAATATTTTGCAACATTAGTAAAAAGGTTGAATTTGTACACCAGTCTAGCATAAAAACATTATCATAATCTCTACATAGCTTGAGAGCGTAAGCGATTTGAATCTTTTAGAAAAAGATGTCAGACAGCAGTTCCTCTCTCCAAATTCTGCTTGATCTCTGCAGTGTATTTTCCATAGAAGCGTTCTGCCTTCTTGTTAAAATTGGCATTCCTCTCGTTGATATAGTCAATGTCAGCATCATCATTGTAACGGCGACGTCTGCTGTATTTGGCACGCTTCTCAATTCTGGGAAAAAAAACGAGGTAAGCTTTATACTACTGCAAATAATAATACAAAGCAGAATGACATACAAAAAAACTGTCCAGGAGAAATTTCTGTCATCTATGCTAACTTGAAAGGTCTCACTGATGCCAAACCTACTGACAGTACTTCTTGGTTGAAAGATATGTATTTACAGATAATACTACTTCATGAATTACACTAAATACAGTTGACATACATAGGAACTGCAGTTCTTAGTATCTCAATGGAATGCAGTTTCTCCAATGGCTCCCAAAGGAGACATTGTAAGTGAGGTACTGACACTCGGAAATACTTTGTGCCACATGTCTGACTGCCTTGTATTCTGGCAGTCTGGTTAGCTCCTGAAGGGTTTTCATTCAATGGCTGTAATTAGAATTTTACAGGGAAATTTCATTGGGATGGGGGTGGGGAGTACTTTCAGAAAAGTACTCCTATCAAACAGACTGTAAAAGAACAAGCTTATTTGTTCCAGTTCAGCAGCAGCCTCATGGAGACTCACTGTGTTGGGTTTCCTGGCCGGAAAAGACATGCTTGAATAATGTATTCAAGGGATTTGTTTCCTGACAGCTGTCATTGAGACGAGATGGGGAATTAGCTCCTTCTAGAGCTCTGGATGCCAGTCTTGGCACCGGGAAACAACTTTAATATTCAGAACCAGCCAACATCCCCATAGGGTCTGTCCAGTAATTTGATGCACATTCCTCACCAATCCACAGATCAGAACATCTTGGAAACTGGGAGTCTTCCAACTGGAGAGACACATCAGGTATGCTAAGTAATTATAAATATAAACAGACACCAGTCCCTGGCAGCATCTCAGGAAACAGTGCAAACTATTACAAACCACACCTGGATTATCTAGTAATCATTGTCTAGTCACACTTATTGAAAGTTACAGTAAGGTACAGGTTGGTTAAAACATAGGATAGTTGAATACTTTCATCAGTACTCTCAGTTCCCAACACAACTATGCCATAACAATTAATCTATGCTACTATTCTGTCCTTCCAGTTCTGCAAAATTAATTCCTGTTGTGTTATTTACATTTTGCAAACACAGAATAGGCACTATAGCTATAAAGAAAAACTCACTGTTTTTCAACATCTGCCACCAGCCTGTCCACACCTGCTTTGGATGGAATATGAGTGCCGTGTATTAGACTGTTTGCAGTTGCGTAGAACTCCTCCCCACTATTAGAAAGAAATACAAAAGCAATCTCCTTAATACAACGAGAAAGGTGATTTTAACTCCAATAACAATTTTAAAAACCAACTAATGATTTCAGTTATTCCATTGTGATATCAGAGGATTTTTTGAAAACCAAATGAAATGTGAAGAGCTGTTCACGAAAAAGGAAAAATACACTCTAAATGGAAAGGCTCTGCAATTATCACATTAATTCAAGTCTCGCAGAGACCCACAAAACATTTGCATTCAAATTAGTACCTTTACTGCACAACAGTACTTCTTTAAATTCAATATTCCCCAAACGCACGACCACTTCCCTCTAGTAGGACAAGGGCAGCAGATACACAGGAACGTCACCACCTGCAAGTTCTCCTCCAAACCACTCACTATTCTGACTTACAAATATATTGCCATTCCTTCGCTGCCTCTCGGTCAAGGTGCTGGAATTTCCTCACCAAGGGCTTGGGTCTACCTACAGCACATGGACTGCAACAGATTAAGAAGGCAGCCCACCAACACCTTCTCAAGGGCAACTAGGGACAGGTAATAAATGTTGGCTAGCCATATGCCACGAGTAAATTTAAAAACATACAAACCACTGTGTCAATAGAAGTAAGTTATCTAGTCATCTAAAGAACTGAAGATCTATGGCAAAAAAAAACAATTTTGAACATCACCAGGGGAGTTATTATAGTGATTTGTTATGAAGGATTGTTATTTTGAATGTTGTTTAAAGTCCAGTCTGGATGCAGATTTATCTACTTTGTAACAGCATTTGGGCAACAATAAGTAATAGTAGCTTTGTGAGAACTACTTTGAAATTGAAAGTGTGCAAGGTGAGGAAATAGGGTGGAGGAGGCCAGGGGGTAGGGTACCAGGTGGGTAAGTGGGTGACGATATAAGATGCCAGATGGACGACCGGGCAGCAGAGTGTATCAGGTATTGTTAGAGGGGGACAGCATTTGGATATCCAGAATTGTATGGGGGTGGTGGGGAGATGGCTGTGGGCTGAGGCATCAGCTTCCTGTGAGTCATTTATTTTTCTGGTGAGTAGTTGAGGGGGATGTCAGAGTGATTAGCGGTCAATTTTATAATTAACTGGGAGTTAGAGTTGAGTTTAATCCCAGTAATTTATCAACACAATTAAGTCAGAATCATCTCGAGTCGCACAGTTGGGGACCATTTTGGTGGGTTCCAAATGCCAGGTAATTGCCAATTAGATGTTAACTTCCTGAGCAATTCCCATGTCATTAGTGCAGACCAGAATAAAATATAAACAAACAAAAATCATTTAAAAATTAGTTTATTTTTCCCATGGGATAATTTGACATTCCACAAATGAAAAATTAGCTTTCAAGATCATTGAGGGTGTTTAGCTATAATTAAGTAAGCACACCTTTTAAACTCCAGTTACAACACATTCAATAAGGTATATCTTATTTAAATGTTAAGTCTTTTCTTTACGGTTCGTGGTTCTATCACAGTCGCCTTTATTTTCTCCCTGATCAGTGAATAGGATGAAGATCAAAGGTACATTTTTAAAAAGTGACTCACGCATCATCCTTCTGCTTGTCATATTCCTCCAAGTCTGGTTTAATCTGCTTCACTAATCTCTGATACTGGCGGAACTGAGCAGCTGCAAAGTCTGGAACAAAAATATAAACATTGTTAACCAACAACTTGATGTTAGAATGACAAACCTAGATCAGAAATGAACCGAGTCTGTAATAATGTAATTAAACAAAACATCACAAAATCTTATATGTTTCTTTGTTTACAAATGAAATCGGTTCAATCCTGTTAAGCCACAGAAACTTGTCACCTTAGAATTCTGTATTTTACAATAAAAGGAAGAAAAATGGAGCACAACTGTGAAGGATTCAACAATCACTTATAGAGTCAGGAAGTCATACAGCACTCAGGACCTTCTCCACAATGTGCCCGCCGCCATTAGCCATTTGGCCACTGTCGGAGCACCCACAGATGACGTCACATCCTCCGATGCCGGGTACGCCACTTCTGGTACAGCGAACACCATCGACACCGCTTCTGATGCCACCGCCTCCGTTTCAGAGGCCAACACCACAGACATCGAGGTCACACCTGCTGCCGCCGCAACCAACATCCAGGACTTACCGACCGACTCTGCTCCTCCCACCGCCAATGCAACTCTGCCCACCACCGACGCTGACGTCGCTCCGCCCACCACCTCCACAGCCAGCAGCTCCAGAGGAGACAGTAGTACCCAGCCCTGCCGAGTCTTCACCATCCCCCCAGACCTCCAAGATGAACGGTCAGTCCTCAGTAAAGGGCTTACCTTTGTCCCCCTCTTCCCACACATCAACGAATACCGCTCACGTTTTTCTGCCGCCTCTGCATTTACTTCTTTAACCGTGAGCCTAACCCTCCCTCGACTGACCCCTTCTCCCCCCTCCAACACAGCCCCTCCTCCTGGACACCACCCCAAGGCCTCCTACCCTCCCTCCACCTCTTCATCTCCAACTGCCGTCGAGACATCAATCGCCTCAACCTCTCCATCCCTCTCACCCACTCCAACCTCTCCCCCACAGAACGTGCAGGCCTCCGCTCCAAGCCCAACCTCACCATAAAACAAGGCAGGCGCAGTTGTAGTATGGCGCACTGACCTCTACATCGCCGAGGCCAGGCGCCAACTCTCCGACACCACCTCCTACCGCATCCTTGATTATGACCCCACCCCCGACCACTAAAACATCATCTCCCAAACCATCCACAACCTCATCACCTCAGGTGGCCTCCCACCCACAGCCTCCAACCTCATCGTTCCCCAACCCCGGACCGCCCGCTTCTATCTCCTTCCCAAAATCCACAAACCTGACTGTCCTGGTTGACCCATTGTCTCCGCCTGCTCCTGCCCCACCAAACTTATCTCCACCTATCTCGACTCCATTTTCTCCCCCTTGGTCCAGGAACTCCCTACCTACGTCCGTGACACCACCCATGCCCTCCACCTCCTCCAAAACTTCCAATTCCCTGGTGCCCAACACCTCATCTTTACCATGGACATCCAGTCCCTATACACCTGCATTCCCCATGCAGATGGCCTAAAGGCCCTCCGCTTCTTCCTGTCCCGCAGGCCCGACCAGTCCCCCTCCACTGACACCCTCATCCGCTTAGCCGAACTCATCCTCACCCTTAACAACTTCTCTTTCAATTCCTCCCACTTCCTACGGACAAAGGGGGTGGCCATGGGTACCCGCATGCGCCCAAGCTATGCCTGCCTCTTTGTAGGTTACGTGGAACAATCCCTCTACCGTAGCTAAACTTGCCCTAAACCCCACCTCTTCCTGCGTTACATCGATGACTGTATCGGCGCCGCCTCGTGCTCCCACGAGCAGCTCGAACAGTTCATCCACTTCACCAACACCTTCCACCCCAACCTTAAATTCACCTGGACTATCTCTGATACATCTCTCTCCTTCCTGGACCTCTCTGTTTCCATCTCTGGCAACCACCTGGAAACCAATATCCATTTCAAGCCCACCGACTCCCACAGCTACCTAGAATACACCTCCTTCCACCCACCTTCCTGCAAAAATGCCATCCCCTATTCCCAATTCCTTCGCCTCCGCCGCATCTGCTCCCAGGATGAGGCATTCGACTCCCGAACATCTCAGATGTCCTCGTTTTTCAAGGACCACAACGTCCCCCCCCTCAGTGGTCGAGAACGCCCTCGACCGTGACTCCCGCATTTCCCACAACTCATTCCTCACACCCTCTCCCCGCAATAACAACCAAAACAGAATCCCCCTCGTCCTCACGTACCACCCCACCAACCTCCGGATCCAACGCATCATCCTCCGACACTTCCACCATCTGCAATCCGACCCCACCAAAGACATTTTTCCCTCCCCACCCTTATCTGCTTTCCGGAGGGACCACTCTCTCCGTGACTCCCTTGTCCGCTCCACACTCCCCTCCAGC